GATACATGTAAGATTGCCCAAAAGAAGCCAGCCCTAGATTTCAAGAAGCCAACAAGAGTGAAGATATTGCCAAAGTCCACCCTTCCATTTCGAGAAAAACTTGTCCAAATCGAGAAGTCGAAAAATGAAATAACTCCAACCTGAGTCTTAATGCTCTCACCAAACCCCCTTGATGAGTCTCACCTCGCAGGTGGATTTTGGCCGGCCGTTGATGATTTCACCACACCCGACAGCTATAGGTACACCCAAACAAAAAAATGCAGTGTTGACAGTACCATACACATCAAAACACCAGGTGTGGGAAGAAAGAGAAGCAGAAAAATTGAATCCATATAAAACCCGAGGCTCGTCGGCTATGGATGTACCCGCCCGCCTAAAAGAAGAAGAAAGAATCGAAAGAAATGAAAAAGTGCCGTGACCCGTGCATGCCTTTTGAAGAAGTGAAGAATGCGCGCCTCCGGTTCCAGATCTTCTGGAAAGGCGTCAAGCTGGGAGGAGAAATCCATGCCTCTCTCTCTCTCTCTCTGTGAAATCGAAGTCATCGACGGCAATCTGAAGCCGCCGTCGAATGCTGTGTCGGCTTTTCCCGCCCCCGGCGCTGTTTCCAGCCATGAGGGTTGGAAAGGCCGAAAAATAACGTGGCGGAATGAATCCAATAGAAGCGAAAAATTCGGAAGAAAATGTCGTACTCATGCATCTCGTTTCGCGAAATTTCGCCGTGATGGTATGGCTGAAACAAGTCGTAAAATTGGCCCGAGCCAAATTTCAATCAGTGCTGCCTGTCGCATGGCTGCTGATCCTGCGACCCCACGCGTCCGTCTCGTCCGTTCACCCCTCACAACGGCGATCGTCGTCGCTCCTCGCCCTGCCCTTGATAAGCTTCCGTTGGCGTCGGCCCGTACTGAGCTGCGTGCGATGGCTCTTCGGACAACAAGGATGATACCGAATGTCCACCAACACTCCTTGGTGCTTGCTGCTGTTGCTGTTGCTGAGCAGAAACCGAACTGGCGCTACCGTATTCCGGGGCCGTGCTGAAGCTTGCGACTTGAGGAGACATGCCTCGAGGCGTCCCGAAACTCTCACCTCGGCCACGACCCGTCGGCCGGTACGACGAAAGATCGCTACGCTGTCGTGTATGCCCGCGTCTTCGCCCCGGCGGGGGGTTCTCAAGCGCTGATCCACCGTGGAAAGGAGGCGACCGCAAGCGTTGATGTTGACTTGGCGGTGGAGGGGCTGGCTGCGGGCCTGTGGCCTTGCGCTTGTTCCTAGGAGACTCCCCTAACGGCCACACCAGCCAAGGTTAGCCTAAAGCGACTCTCTCTTTCGTTTGGTCTTGCTGGACGCACCGGAGGGTGTCGCAGGCTGAGTAGAGCCACCTCCGGCTTGGGATGTCGGCGGGTGCCAGTGATGAAAGTAGATGGACGGGCTCGGCTGGGCCTCTTGTTGAGACTGCGCAGACTGCGCTGCTGCGTGCTGGTGGCTCTGCAGTGCCGACGGGCCTGGTGGGCCAGAATGAGGGACGTTCGTGTTGAGGCTCGGAAGGTTACTAGATCCCAGTGGCCGGGACACCGAGCCAGTCGAGGACAAAGTCGTTGCCCTTCCCCGCTGGGGAGAGCCCGGGTAGGCGGGGAATCCGTGAGGTCCGGGGGCGGAGCTCGGCGTCGAAGGGACGCCCGCATATTGACCGTAGGGCTGGGACTGAGAATCGCGGCGATGCTCAGGAGAAAGAGGACCTTGGGACGGCAGCAGCTGGGGGTGCTGAGGCTGTCCCTGCTGAGCGAGAAATTGCTGTGCCCATTCCAGAGCCGCAGGAGGAACACCGCCTCCCATTCCGGCAAAGACGAGAGGAACGATGGGCGGGGGGATTCCGCCGCTCAACGAGGTTCGTAGCATGTCGGCCTCGATGCGCCGTTGCTCTAGGCGCAGAGTCTCTTGCCTCGTCTTCTCTTCCTCCTGTCTCCTGCGCTCCTCTTCTGTCTTTGCTGCCAGCCAGCTCCTCATGGAATCCTCGGCGCCTTGCCACTGCGGCGGCGGTCCGGGCAGCTGACCCATCAGGTGGCCATGGCTGGATTGAGCTTGGCCGATGGATTGGGGCGCCGGAGGTGGCGGAGGAGGAGCCGAGCTTGCGTGAGGCGGCTGGGGCGGCAAAGTCATGGCCGCCGGGGGAGGCAGGCCACGATGATGTGCCGACATAGGCTGGCCAGCTGGACTGTGACTACGGGGAATGGACGGCAGCAACTTGTGCGAAGGGTGGTCTTGGTAAGCCAAGGGAGGCGAGGGTCGGGATGTCGAGGGCGGAGTAGGTAGGTCATGGACGGACTTGTAGCCGTAGTGTGTTGGCTGCTTAACTGTGAGCATGGTCATGTATACTCATGTGCTCCAGGTGTTTTCAAAAGTTGTTGAAGTTGAAATCAGACAACATGGGTGGCTGATTTTGTTTCTGGGGTTGATGTGTGTTTTTTTGTTTTGTTTCCTCGGGTTGTTGTGTATGGAATCGTGTCGAGTCAAGAAAGTGAAGCTGAAGCTCAAGCTGCTGGTGAAGAAGAAGAAGGCAGCGAGCAGTCGGAGAAGAAATTGAGACAAAGGGGAGTTTGAAGGAAGGTCAAGAAGTGGAAAAGTGAGGAAAAAAGCTGCTGGCTGGCCAGTCAAGATGAAGATGGGTGGAAGGAAGACAGGTGAAGAAAGGTTGAAGAAAAAACCCGAGGCGAGAGGTGAGGTAAAAGGTAGGAAAGAACAAATGAAGGTATGGGGGGTGCAGGTGGTGGAAATAACCTTTTTTACAGGCGCGAAGCTGGAAGGGCGGCCAGCTCCAAGTTGGGAAAGAGACTTGGGTTGGACTGGGAAGGGAAAGGGACAGACACCACCTCACAGACACCACACGCCGTACTCCGTACCGAGGAGTACTATGTACATACACACCTACCTTCATCTGCCCTGGACACCTCTCTTTCCATTTCACGCCCGAGAGGGGGGTACGTATTTTTTTCTCAGACTCCCACCCACCAGCACCAGCACCAGCACAAGCGGCAACACCAGCAGCTTCTACCCGCAAGGTAGGCACATAGGTAGTAGTCTGAGGTACGGAGTACTTCACTTTCCTTTCCCAAAGGATGAGAGGGACCCGGAGACCCAGAGGTCCAGAGACCTAGACCCAGACCTGGACCCGAGCCCCAGGGCCTCGAGAGAGAGAATGAGAGGCAACTCCGTGCCCAGCTGGGACTAGTAAGGGACGGCAGCTTGCAAGGAACAGACCAGCTAGCAACGATGCCGTTGTACGGATAGGTGTGTACGAATACTTAGTGGATAGCGAGGGAAAAGCGAGCCCAGGTCAAGGAAAGCAGAGGTACTACATACCATGGCACGCGAGGGCTCTTCATCCATCGTCCTCGCCCTCGTCTCTCCCAGTCTCAGATACCTTACCTCACAATCCTGTACTGTCTCCATCCATATCGGGATTCGTAGTACAGACCAAGGGCGGGGCGTACGGTGATGAACCCAGCTCCACGAACGGGCCCAGCCTCATTTAGACATGAAGACGTATTTAGTGCCGACCACGTAAGGCAAGATTGGGAAGGGCTGAGAGTGCTGTTCTGGGTTGGCACAGCAAGCAAGGCTGATGGACGGACAACTCGCATTGTGGGATCGAAGTAAGGATACAGATACGGAGTATCCGTACGTACTCGAGGCGGGATCACAGTCTAGACTAAGCCAGAACTTGAAAGTGACACTGACCCCCAACGTCCCTTCCTTTTGACCTGTACTGTAGATCTCCGGAGCCTCGAAACCTCCACGGAAGGATATGGTATGAATCAAAGCGCCAGGTGCTGACGATGTGCCGATGCATTGCTGGAGTAGTAACGAGAGCCAGGGCGTAACTGTGGGTATTGTAATATGTGGTTTCTGGGAGGATGAGGATGGATCATGGTCATGGTCATGGTCATGGAGGGGGCAAGCAGGCAGGCATTGAACGGCTTCTGTTCTTTGGGAATCCGCGGGCCCACGAGCGGGAAGAGTGACGGGGGTGTGTCCTGTAAAAGTACAATGTGCAAGTGCCTGGATATGGAAATCTGCAATGTGTGTATGTGTGTGTATGTGTGCGTGTGTGTGTGTGGTGTAGGTTCCTCCTCTCAACAGAGTACACTACATATTAGTAGTGTAGTCCTGCGTGTGTGCGCGTGTCTGTCTCCCTCTTTCGTTATTTCACCATTTCCCTTTCCCAAGGAACCCCGGCCGGGGGTTGCAGGTGCGGATACTGATGCAGATGCAGATGCTGGATGGAGAAGCGGGAAAGGAGATGAACCACTCCAGCAAGGCCCAGCTAATTCGACGAGGCGTGCAGGAATCATAGTATGGATGCCCAGGTCCATCCAAGGCCGTAGAGTTCCTACGGATACTCAGGAGACACCCAGGAAGTCTCCAACTCTCCTGGCAAATTTGAATCGCAAGCACCACCCACAAAGTGATAAGTGCGGATAGTAGGGGAAAGCAAAGGACAGAGAGAGGCATACGAGTCTAGGAGATGGCCCGGCCGTTTACGGATAGTTCAGGATAAGGCTCGGTGCGGAATGGATGGTGGTCAAGGTGCGTTGCCCGTGGTGGAGAATGACAGTGAGCCTGGTTTATTTCATTTACAACCAGCGCGTATCAGAAGAGATGACACATGGAGGGGGATGAGCACAGGGGGGGTGCGCGTTGTTTGTGTCCAAGCCCAGCCCAGTCCAGTCCGCGGTCCCAGCCCACAGATCAAGTGGCGCGAGGGGGTGCTTGCACGCCCACGCCCACAGGGACTCCTCCCACTCCCAGAATCCCGGCAAGGGCCAAGGGGGGAGGGGGTGGTGATGGGGATATGAGGGGGGTGCGAACCCGGGAACTGTGGCGAAGGCGGCTAGTCAGCATTGGGCCAAGATGGGGAAATCCCACACTGGCGTAGAATCAGACTTCAAGATGAACTGACGGCAGAGGCGAACGAGGAATGAGGAATGAGGAACGAGGGATGTGGGATGTGGATGTGGGTGTGCTGTCTGTGGATGCTAGATGCTAGAAGGCCAGGATGCCGGATGATGGATGCTGCAGCAAAGACAGTTGGAAATCGGAAGTTGGGGGCGAGAAGTGATGTAAGAAAATCTACCGATCCCTCTCCCAGAACCAGAAAAGGCTGCATGGTGGTTTGGCTTGGAGTCACCATTGTCGAGGATCCCGACATCTTTCAATCGGCCAGCACCTATTCCCAGTCAACCTTGAGCTGGTGTTTTGTATCAGTACTTCCCGCGCCAGTATCGGCTTCGTGTTACTGTCAGCTACAAGTAGAAGTTTTAACCCAATCATTACCACAGCTCTATGGGCTGTACCGTGACCCAACACCTACGGCTTGTGTATCCAAAAGAAATAGATGGAGAAAAATCAACCGTAACCGCATACCTACAGTATCCGTACTAGGCTCTAATACGAGCTAAAGAGCAAGAGCGGGGGTTGGACTGCGGTATCGTCGAAGCAAGGCGAGAACAAGAGGAGACCAGTATCCGGTGGCAAGGCGCAAGCCACCCTCACTGACAGGATGCGCACGACACGCAAGACAATGCATGAGCAGCGCTGCGTATGGCCACAAAGGGGGGGGGGGGGGGGGGGGGAAGCCGGGGCGGGGGGGGGGGGGGGGGGAAAAGCGGGGGAAGGGGGTTTTTGGCACTTGGGCTTTGTTTTTTCGTCCTTTTTTGGGGGTTGCTTTGAGCGCCCCCCCCCGGGGGGGGGGGTAGGGGGGGGGGGGGGGGGGGGGGGGGGGGGGCTGGCAAGCCGGCTCGAGTGAGCGTAGGGCAGGACAAGCCGGGACATGAGATTTTCGGACCTTGGCCTTGATATTGTCGTCCATTTGCTGAGTGTTGACGCTGCCACCGCCGATGAGGCTGCTGCAATTCCCTCTTCTGGCTGCGCAATGTGTTTCTGGCTTGTATCGCACACAGTCATCTTTGTCCCCTGGTCCTTTGATAATTCTCCGCGCCCTCGTGCTTGGCATGCAGCTTTGTGACCTGATTATGTATAGAGACTCCGCCAGGAGCTGCCGTCGGTGGGTAAGCATTGTAGCTTCGCCTAGCTTCCCAAAGTGGGTAGGTGAATGAGGGGTGTCGTCGTCGGGAAACCGTGTACGCGTGCGAGTGCCGCCGTGTTCTGTTTGAATGCAGTTCAACATCCGTCGCCAACAGGGATAACCTGGTACGCATCTTGGAGGCAGCAGACAGATGCAGAAGTGTGTGAGCAGAGTTCGACCAGAGGCGCAGGGTCGATCCTGATGATGAGTTGACGACACCATCACCCATATGACAGAAGGAAAGAAAGAGGAGAAGCTGCCAAAGCGCGGGGAAGGTTGACAGAGAGATACAACGAGGTCGATATCAGGAAACTCGGGGACAATACCTACACATCCCCAAAGCTGGATATCAACCGTTTTTGGCCTGGGCCGTACCCTACTCGAGGCTTCAGCTAGACTCTGCACCTTGGTTTCTCACTTTTGTGTTCTCAAGCTCGATACTTACACTAACGAGATGGAGCGGGTTGTGGCCGCAGGTCAGCTGAGAAAGCGAGTTCGAGTGAGTTCGCTCACAAAGCTCTCAGTCCAGAGATGCTGATTGGACGCTTTCGCTGCAGACGCGAATGGGACGCGATGCGGTCTCGTGCTGAAGCAGACAAGAACAAGGATCCATCTCCTGGCCGTGCTGATGTTTTGTCCAGCCCCCTCCTGTCTCGTCTGGGGGTTTGCTGGTGCGTGTTCGAACATGAGAGCCCCCTCGTCGAGGAATCATAAAGCTTTTCGTGGTTTCGCTGATGATGTGTAGTATTGACTAAGCTTCTTTTTGTCTTCATTTAGCAGCAGCTCACAGACCTCATCTACTGATTATGGGACTAGGTGATACGTAAGGTAGGGATATACGCACCTTGACTGCTGAAAGTGAATTGAGCGATGGATGGGATGCCGAGCCCAGGATTTAGGTCTTGAGTTCAGCGCGGAGCTCCTACTTCCAACACTTGCCTTCCCGCGTCTGCCTCATGTCATCATCATCCTTGACCGTAGCAGCAAAGTTTCTGGCCCAAGAGAAACAATGAGGTTTTGTTACTGTAGCCTTCAGTAAACAGACTCGAGCCCTGCAGCAGCACCAGCGCAACAAGTTGGAGTGGGGTTGGCTGTCCGTAGTCAAAGGGGGATTCAAAAGAGGCCAGCCACAATTGATGGTTCAAGAATCAGCGGAGAGCTAGAGAAGAGGGTGTGAAGGTGCCATAAGGGGTGTGTGTGGATTTCTTTGGTTTGACGAGGTATTAAAAAACGGGCTGTCGTTGCTGGTGTGAGAGGAGGCCACCGAGGGCGAGGCCATGGGAACGAAAGAAGATGGGAGTGGGTGTTCGTAGGTAGTTGGCAGAAAGAAAACGGGACAAGGTGCCTTACTGCAGTAGACGCCTCAGTGAGGTACGTAATTGGCGAGGACGTACCGAGCTCTCAAGGGGCGGGCGGCGTGTGCGTCCGAAGGATTCTGGATGCTCGGGAGATACCTGGACACGTTACGTCGGTACGTACCTACGCCTGTGCGCCATCTCTCCCCTAGCTTACCTTCTTTACCTTTGCCTTACCTTGCTGCGAATGTTGGCAGGCAAGTACATTGGGACGAAACCGCGAAAAACTGCCTTGTAGATTTTGGATTGTAGAGTAGTGCCCAAGTCAAGAAGAGTTGTGTATCTCAAGATGCCTTCAGATGGAAAACGTTCTCTGCTATCTACGCCTACTTCTCATAGCTCCATTATCTTGAAGGTGATGAGTATTGCTTTTGAAATCAGCATTGAGCGAGATGTTAGTCTGACGTTGACATCCAACAACCTGTCAGCTGAATAGAATACCAGGCACTTTGTACCGTAAGCTTATGAGATCATCATGGAGATTATCCAATGTCAATGTTTGTTGGCATTCGAAGGCACGGCAATGTCCGCGCACGGTAGATCATTTAGTTCGGTTAGCCGTGTGACAATGGTAACCAGAGAAGGCGCAGTCCGCCACATAACTTCGGACTCAAGCTGTGTGTAGAGATAGAGTCCAGCGAGCAAGCCATCTGGTGTTGTTGAGTCCTCTCACTTAGGCAATCTGGCAGTGCAATCACTCCAGATACCAGCGGTGTGGCTGATGGACGGGAATATAGTCGAGACATAGGCGAGACCCGATGTAGAAATCGAGAAACCATGTCTTTCAGTGGGCGCTTCCGTAGCGCCTCTGGGTCGCGTGTTGCTTGAGAACCTATCGATGGATGTTGATTCAGAGAGCCAGGCTCTAACTCTACGGGACAAGGTGTCAAGGAGAGATCCCAACCCCGAAAGATTCTCTCCGTCATCCATGGGATAGCTTGGTGGTGGCGGGAAGCCTGCCTGGTCCAACGGCGTCTGGGCTAAGTGGCCGCAGCTATTCGATGCAAGTTCTTGTCTCGTCTGCCGCCCGCCGGCGCTCGTCTCATCCTCGGTAGTCTACGGCAGGCAAGGAAGCGTCTCCTCCACCATCTCTGCGCAGCATTGCCTCGATTCAGTCAGGCGCATCTTGCTACATGGCTCTGAGAGGCGGGACCGGGTGGTCAGGTCATGTCCGCCATCACATTGTCTACAGCCAAAGGAGGCAGAAGACGCATATATGTACGGATAGTCGTTGCTAATTAGTTTTTGACGCTGGTTCGGCTCCGACAGGGGACTGGCTGGAAAAGGAATGGTGGTCGAATGCATCGAGAACCGAGAGGAGGTTGCATGCGTTCTGAGCGCGGTCCACAATGGCAACTGTGCGCAGATGAAGCCGAAGTTATCAAGCTGTATTGCGCAACGGCCAACGTATGGTGATCGGGGGAAGTCCGGCTAGGCAGCGAGATGATATCTCACGCCTGATCAAATATGTGCTGCGGTAGTGCTACATTGACGGCCGAGAAAGATCAACAGCATGATTCTCCCCGTCCTCGAAACTGTATTAGGTGAGGAGGAATTTGACTTCTGGCACTGCCGCTCAAACGCGCGAGCACTCGTCCCCGGAAACGACACTTAGGCTTGAGCGATGTAATCTTTTCATCGAGAAACTCTTGGAAGGCTACTGCTACCTGTCAGGCTTCTCGTCCTGTCAGTCGCAAGTGGATTTGTCGACTAGGATCCCCCAAGAGGTCACGCCGACAGGCCCATCCCGGATTTCCAGGCTAATTTGGCATGCTGCTTCAACTCAACACATCGAGTTTATACTCCAGAGGCGAAAGAGTTGCAGTCTTGTGATTGGATGCTTCTTCTAGCCAACAGCGGCGTAGTTGCCAGAATAGGATGTGAACTCTCTTCTGGGGTATCTCGTTACGCAACATGGACGAAGGTGGTGGCGGCCAAGTTTCGGAGCACGCGGTGCTCTGTGACTCTGTACGCCATGGCTGATGCTTAGTTGTGCGGAACAGCTCGTTCGACTGTGGCTGGCTACCATTGCCGTAAAAATAGCATTTCACGTTGCACTGTGAATGAATGGCCGCGTTCTCGCCATGTGCGTTACGCCGTTGTGCTGGACTCGAGTTGATGACCAGATACTGACTTTTGAGTAGCGATGTGCAGCGGCTGAAAGCAGACAAGAAACACATCAAGAGTGTACTACGGATACTCTCTTGAACAAAAGTAGAGTCGTCGTTCGTTAAGTGGTGGTGGTTGTGCTGCCATTTCATTCTGGTGGTGCTAATCCTTTCTGTGTTGGTGTATTTGGACTAGGGGACTGGGCTAGACCGGAATCTGGAATCCAGATTCTCGACTTTGGACCCAGCAAATCTCTTTTGCACTTGTAAATGCGATGGCGCCCGGACGATCCCAGATCGCCTTCCATCGGATGTCGACCAATCAACAAGGACGGCACTTTCCCCTCTGAGAAGTTCGTGGCAGGAGCGGTTCCGTCTCTCGATTGGCTCTAGTCTCCTTTCGGATAGCAATGGAGACCAATCTGCATGACTGTGCAGTACGTATCCTCGCGAGGGTGTGATAACAGGGGGACAGGTGTGGATGTATTCCGCGTGCCTGCTCCTTCTTCACAACCACGACGTTTCCTGGAAGCTACACCCCTGCTCGCCCACCCAGTCGGAATGAGCTCCCAAGGAAAGACATTGGGTAGCTAAGAAGGTGCGGAGCTACAAGGCAGGTAAACCCCTGCCATGACTGTTAATCTGAAACACGGTGACGAGGAAACAGGGGCCTTCCTTTCCATCTACGTTGACCACAACTGCCCGCCCGCACTTGCACTTGCACTGCTGCAGTCACCAGTGACCACCTACCACCACTTGCTATGTACGGAGTACCTGTTACCACCACCACCACCACCACAATGTAGGTAGGAGCGAAAAAAGGAAGGAGGATGCGCGAAAAACGGAAGATAACATGAGAATAAACATAACGCTCGATTCTGCACGTGAAGCAGTCACAACAGTCATCAATTGCCGCTGATGGGCACAAGGCGCCCAACCTGTAAAGCATCTGCCCACTACCAACCAGACCGCCATCTTTGTTCCCAAGGCCACTGTCTTTTACGGACGTACGCATCTCTTGATCCATGCTGCTCGGACGAACACCGTCAACGCCCACAAACCATGTCCATTGCTGTAAATGGCCTCGGACGACGTGACGGACAAGTGCCGCCTTGCCATGGCCTACAGCCTACGGATACTTCTTCTTTCTATTGTCAAAGACCCAGGCCAGACTGAAGCTCTTCAGGACGTGCATGACAAGCTTCGGGCGACGCCACGCATCTCAACACTAATCATGCGGCTCTGGGGGACTTGACTTCAACTTTGGGCTTGTGGCTCGATCCCGCAGCTTGGCCCCAACTATCGACAGCCCAGTTTCGCAATATTTGCACTGAGGTGCACTCTACGCCCGCCGCTACCTTAGCCACCAGTACTCGGAGATCCATCTTCTCGCCTATTCCGGTCACGACAAAGCCCAGTCTTCGATGGCGCATTCGCAATACCGCCAAAAAAGGCATCGTGGCTCTCGCAGGATGGTCTGTCAACCTTATCCGGGATTTGGGCGGTGGTCCTGCACTTCTGCTTCTTCTACGACGGAACACCGAGGCATGGCCGTTGCCCCCCATCCCCAAGGCCGGACAACGCCACGTCCCTGACCGTTCAATTCACCCGCCCGCTGCAAGAATCTCCAAATCACAATCTCCCCTAATGCCGTCAGCCCTGGGACCCGTCAGACCCCGCCAAGTCAGCGCTGGACACACCCACACATCCTCAGCCTTCCACTGTCCAATTTGGTGGCGGTTTCACCTCACCCATCTAAGATGCCGGCGGCGAGGGCGTTGGCACTCTGGGGGGCTCTTCTCCTCAGCTGTGGAAGACTCATAGCGAAATCTACCATGCTGTGCATCGACAGCCTGACATGACAGGCTCTCGAGTAGGCACGCAAAGGCTCTAGATCCCCTCCTTCAACCGAACCGAAGGAGCCATTAACCAGCGCTATCCAAGCGGCTAGCTCAGTTATCACCACCCAGAAACCCACTTACAGACTGACTGCAATAACCTTGGATTCGCGGACTTCCGGAGAGAACTGCGGAGTAAATTGTGTACCCCCTACAGCAGGCGCAAGTTCTGCTGGTCAAGCCAAGCATTTAAGTCGGCATGTGACGATTCGCAGCGCAGAAAAGATCCTCTGCACTCTGTGTCGACGCTCACGAACTGTAGCGCATTCCTCAGCTGCAGCCAACAATTTGATTGGCTTCGTCTAGCCGAAAGTATTGTCCAGAAAGTTGTGAAGACTGTCCAACGTAGCTGGTCAGGTCCAGGCAGGGGTTCGATTCAGCACGACTCCCGCCATCAAGACTGGCCTGGCGTATGCTTCGTCTTTTCTAGCGATTTCAGTACCTCGAAGTCGGTGTGTTACTACCGAATAGGCCTTTTCTACGATGAATCAGCTCCAATGGCGGCCAGCTCAACACAGCTAATATCCAAGCTAGCTCGGCACACTTGGCAGAAAAAAGGCAAGATCGTCAAAGTTTGGACCAGACAAGTGTGGCAAGCATGTGCTTTGCATGCGTTCCGCGACGCATCATGCTCGTGCTTTTGCCACGCTGATCCTCCACGAAGCTTGCCCTAAAGATCTGCGTAGGAGAAGGGGAAGGGGCCGGGTTATCGGCGGAACGCGATCGATGGGCTAGGGAGGACGAGACGGGGACGGTGAACAAACCTCACCCAGCCCCACGAGCAACACTACGACACTGACACCCACACCGTTCGAGTCTCGACTCGACACAGGAGTGGCATCGCTACGCGCCAAAGTCCCGCTCCTCCGGCTTATTGGAGCTTGCGCAACTGTCCTACATGCCTAAAAAGATCTGTTGACCGAGCTGATCTGCGATGAGGCCGCATGAAGATCTTTGGTCAACGTGATTAGCGAAGGGGAGAGGCACGCTCAACCAAGCTCAAACTCCGGAAACGCGGCTTTTTCTGCGCAGTCTGGACGCGAGCAAAGGAAACACGTTCGTGGTTATCACACGGGGCTATTGCTCTTTTTTCTCACTCGAAGTCTGTCTATGGCCGACGAAGACACCGATCTCTCCCCGACCCTCGCGAGCCTCGAACCAAAGTCGATCCTTAAAAACAGAGACTGGGCTGGATTATGCAGTCAGCTAACTGACAGCTTTGCCGCTACGAGCGGCGCGGTACTAGCCTGTCTGGCCCGTGACATCTTCGTGCTAAAACCGTGGTTTAGCAAGCACGTTTGCCCGCTACAGGGCGCATCAGCAGATTGGTTGGGAAGCGTGCGTGGTTGACAGATGTCGACCCGAGCCTACAACGCCATGTGACGCCAATTCAGTGATTTCTGAGACAATGTAGTCTTCTTCTTTCGAGTTCGTGAGACAGGCGACTGCATGCAAAGTTATGGCAAGCTGCCATTGCTGTGTGAACATAAGCTCCAGTTGCGTATGTCGTTGTCTCAAAGGGCTCTGGCCACCTGTTCCCGAGTCGGCATTAGCTCAAGGGAAATGCTGGGTCATTGAGGTACCAGAATTACCTCTTCGTCATCTCCTGAGGAGAACAACGGCTAACCTGCTCATGGACACAGAGAGATTAGAGGGCAAAGCGTCGCTAGGCCACCCCTTCCGATTCCCCTTCCGTTCTCCAGAACGCTAACGTGGACGGGGACAAGGATTCTCTCAGCCGGCTCTATGTCACTCTGTTGATTGGATCGAAGTTTCGATGATAGTTGTTAGGGAGGTGAAGCTCGACTGATTGCGGCATTGGGCTCGCTAGCTTTTGTCACAAGTTTATTAGGTGGAGAAAGTCAATTCGCCTGGCCTCCCATCCAACCTATCTCATGCATTTCGTCTCATCTCTTTCTGCTTGAGTCGAGAATGATGCTAGGGAAAGGCCCGTAAAGCTCTGGCCGATTTGGGACCATGACCTCTCGAGTATCCCTACCGCTCCATTTCGAGACGACTGGACAGTCACTGGAAGCATCAGGCCGCCGTCCGAAATGCTCTTCGACGATGCTTATAAGGCTTGCGTCGAAGATAAATGAGGGTAGCGAGGGATACTACCCTGCCACGCCTCGGATCCTCGGAAAAGGAGATTGTCCCGCACGTCATGGTAATTCCCTGTTCCCACCGTCTCTTTCTAGGCGTGCCAGGGGAACTGGACCAGTGTCCATAGACAGGTCCAGGCCAGACTCGACAGAGCTCGCCTACAGTAGACAGACTCCATACAGAGTACAGAGTACAGAGTGCGGATACATTAACCTCATCCTGTCGTGAAGTGGGGGATGCACAAGCAAGGAGAGGATATGCAAGTGTTCCTAGCAGATGCGGGCTGGACGGCAAGATGGTCGCATCCAATTTGCAAGGCGCAACACCTTGTTTCCCTCTCTTCTACTACGTAGGCTTCGTAGGTTTCGTCTCATCTACAACGGAGAACTCAGCACACATTGGCCGACCAGGCGAGGGCCTTTGCAAAAGCATCTCAGCGCTCGCTTGTCAGATTAGGCCAAGGATCTGACTGAGTCTATAGGTCACAGCACGTCATTCACGTGAGTCTATCCCGTTCTGCAATACCTACAAAGTAGACTTCCTAAGGGCAGCGTGCAGGGAGGGCGACTTTTGTGAGGAGTTTGAAATCGGCCAAACACAAGTCCAGGGCATCACCGCCCTACCGAGACAACGGCAGGGCTAGTCAGTGCCACTTGGCCATGCGGACGTTCCCCGGCGAGACGAGGCCTTTCGTCCTTTCCAGCTAGCGTCCCGATATGGAAATGATCTTTGAGGGGTTGCATCTCAAAAGCTCACTGTGGCCAAACCCGTTTTTCAACGTGCCAACCTCCATGGTCTCAAAACCCCCCAAATCCACGGATACTACATCCGGCGAGTCGCTGCGGGAATTAACGACAGGCCAACCGCCAACCGGCCAGGGAGCCGGGACAAGCACCGAGTTGCCAGAGGCATGGGGTGCCCCTAATCCCGCAATCCGTTTTCTCGCCATGTTCTTGGACGGTCGAATCCCTACCCATGCCCACTGTTGTACCTGAGAGGATGAGGCTTGAGGCTTGAGGCTTGAGTGAAGCCCATCCGCATCGGAGGTTTAACCCCCAAAGGCGAAACAATGTTTGCCTCCCGTCTCGCCGGCTCGCGTCTGCCGTGCACGCCGTGTCCGCCGGGAACGACTTTTACCATCCCCACCTTTGAAGAGAATTCTGAGTACCTAATAGACGATGATGTTACGCGGATGAAGAGGTGGGGACGGCAGGCACTGAGACGGAGTCAGCAGGACGCATCGCGGAAGAGGGGAAGGGCGAATGGCGGCGTGAGGACTGAACGAGCGGAGAATGGCGAGGCAGACACCAGTTCTGCTTCTGCCACTTAACCCCCCACAGCCGAGGGAGATTGAAACCGCGCTGGGCAAGCGTAGAGGCGGAAATCATCACAATTACAGTGAGCAAAGAAGACCCAAGCAGGGCCCAAGCAGGGTGCCCTCGAGTCTGGAAACGGATCGGTACGAAACGGTAATCAGACGTGTCTCTCTCTCCAGAAACCCTTCCCGCCCTTTCGCCCTGCCCTTTCCCTTTCTCCACAATCAGGGAGATGAGAAATTAAGCGGTTCTCGATGGACCGCGGGGCGCCTTGGCATCAAGCAGAAGGAAAGGCAGCGGGCCAGAAGAAGCTCTACATAGAAGGAAAAGCAAAGCCTCTTCCATTAAAGGTATTCCCAGGATCCGCCTCTTCGCTGTGGCTATTTTCTCCATCTAGGCTTTCGTTCCTTCATGAGCGGACCCTCGCCATATTTTCGGCATTTCCTTCAACTCGGCGTGGGCATCCACATGCAGGCAGAATTCATGGTCTCGGATGCAGGGAGCAAGGTATCAGGACAAGTTGAAGCGTCGTGTTCCCAACTTCCGACAACTTGACAAAAGTTGTCTCGAGATGTTCGGCGTGGCAGGCTGATGTTCTGCCCACCAACCCCACAGCTCATCTGTCTGTAATCCATTTCCCTCCTCCTCACTGTTGTTACCCCCCTTCCTTCGCCTTCAGTCTTGACATGGAGAGTCAGAGTTGGAACTCTAAAGATGAGATGAAAATGATGATTATCATGAAAGCATCATTGAGGAGAGATCATGCCTGTTAGCTATCAATCAAGTTTAGACGATGACGGGTCGGCGGGAACATCCTGAGAAGAAGAGCATAAGAAGCTCGCACAGACGTGAGGGGGTGTGAACTCTGTTGGTCCAAACATGGGATGATCCTGTGATCTGAGCTGCTGCATTAATAACTTGGACTATTAGAGAAACCTTTTTTTATTGCGTTTAGGTTTCTTTCGCTCATCTTTGGGTGTAAGGACATTACTTGATCCGGAACAAAAGGTTTCTGACAAACATGGGACGGAAACCGTCAACCGAATTTGTTTCCCATTCCGATCACACTTCTGGTTGATTGCGAGAATTAGGGCTAGTTTGGACCATGTTGCCTTATTTGACTGCCCAGTGTCTAAATTGAATGGATCTCTCTCGCTATATCCCTTTGTGGGATGATGCCTCTGCCTGGAATGAGCGTTTCAAGGGGATTTGTATTCACTTCTGGAACTTGGAATCTAAGGCATGCCGAACGGGCGAGCGTGACGAATCAGGCAAGAGGCAAAGCAAGAGCAAGAGAAAATGAAATGAGGATGAAAAAAAAAAAAAAAACAAGTCGTGCCAAAAGTTGAACCTCCAGCCCAGCCACACAACGGCGAGGCAGATTTTCTCCCTTGTATCTGGCAGAAAACAAGTTGTCCGAATCCATTTCGAGAAGATAGTCCAAAGGGCAGACTCTAGGAAGGGGAGATAGGGAACAGAGAGGAGGAAGGGAAGACGAAGCTCCACTCTGAACATCTCTCGCTCTTACATTGCGGCGGCTTCACTGCCGCAGTCCGGTTTACGAGTAAGTTATTTTGGCCCAAGTTGGTCTGCGCTGGATTCCGCCGTAATCTCTTTTCTCTCTTTTGCTCTCTCGATTCGTATCTCTTCCTTTCCCGTTTAGGCGTTGCTTGAAGGTAAGTAAGCCCCGAGTAAACGTTCTCTCTCTCTCTCTCTCTTCCATCGTCTTCTCCGAGGCTCTGAGCTCTCTCTCGGTGAGATTTCTTGATACTGTGTGATGTGAAACCGCGGGGGGGGGGGGGGGGCAGGCCCCCTACGATGAATATGAGGCCATTTTGCGAGTCGTTCTTGTTAAAGCTGATGACGATGTACATTCTTCTTCATCTATGATAAACCCTCTTTATTTCTTTCCCATTTCCTTACTCCGTATTCCGGCCCCCATTCCATCTAATTGAGCTTTCCTCAAGGCCCACGCCCGCCCGCACACACACAAGCACACGCACGCCCCCCAACCCCATCACTCCCTCACCATCCACATCCACACATACGCACACGCACACAAGGCTAATCTGGAGTTCCGAGGGACCGATTACACCCTGGCGATTCAATTTAGATATCCTTGTCAAGCTGGTAAGAAATCAAAATGCGGCTGATCTTGAAAGTCACGAGTGGCAGGCACACTGATGCCGGCTTCAGGGTACTTTGTTTGGTTCGTTGATGACTGGAAGTTCGGATCGGGCGAGGGATGGTATATTAGATCAACCAAAAAAGTCCTCACGAGATCTCCAAATGTGGGCTTGCCAAACATCCCAGCAAAGAAAAAGAAGAAGAGAACAATCTGTCGGGGCGGTTCCACCTCCTCCTTCGTGTTTCTCTTCTTCATCTGGAGCTTGCAAAACGGCCCCCAAAGAGTCGCACCTTCCCCCCACCCCCGGCCTTCCCGGCAAAGGTGACGAGCATGAGTGAGATGAGCTACATCGCACTCTCACCGCCAGCCGCTCGGTCGGCCGGCAGGTCTTCCCCCAGATTTGGTTGTCCAATTTCGAAGCAGTGTGGCCGTGTAAGTAAGATGAGATAGGTCCCGGCGATGAACGGCGGTGGGAGTTGTGGGCTGGGAGAGAGGCGCGTGAACGCGTAGACCCTGTCCCCTTCGTGTAATTCATCTACGAGAGAGCACTGCCACGGATAGAGACTGGGCAAAGGGTAGAAGTCGTCAGGATCCGTGAGAGGGAGGTATCCGTAGAGACTGCCATGGCAAGGGCGGTGCAGGGTGATGCTGTGTCCAGCTTTCACCTCTCCTTGAGTTGTTCTGCCCTCTCTCTCGAGTGATCTCTCTCACCATCCTACGGGTCGAGTTCATCTGCAAAGGGAATCTAGACTTTGGTTTGACTCAACGACCGCGTGATACCCGTTCGGCAGTCGGATAGCGAGCGGACATAAGACTCCTTAGCTTCCCTCCCTCCTCCTCCCTCCATGACCACCCCGTCTTCGATGTCCAAGTGAAGAGTTCTGTGTAACTGTGTCCCTCTATCTCCGATGCCCAGACGCGCGATGGAAGAACCCGAAACCTCACAACCATGTACGGCTCCATCTCAAACTTCCCAAGAGGAAGGTAAGTAAAGTACTCTTGGGGGCCGAAAGGGGAAAGGAGCTCGCAGACAGAAAGAGCAAGGAGCTCTGCGAGTCTACCCAAGAAGTGCGGAGCACCTCGGCAACTACCTAGGAAAGAAAGAGAAAGAGAGAGAGGAAAAAGAAATAATGAGCAGAGAGAGAAACAGAGAGAGACGGTTCACAATGTCTTAGACGCTTAAATGCAAATCACCAGAAACATACAATAAAAAATACCGTTCTCCTTCATTTTGCGCAAACACCCTTTCCACCCTTTTCAAAGGTTCCCAAATCCAGGACCGAGGCTTATAGGAGAGACAGTATGGGAAAGAGGGAGGCCGGTTGGTCTGCCGTGCCGCCCCTTTTCCCCCGATTAGGGAGCGGCAGAGAGAAAAGGTTGCATGGGATTTGCATTTCCGGATCTACTGTCTCACGTTTCCCACTGCCCTACTGCTCTCTTTCGAATGTCCCTGATATCAGACATGTCAAAGACGGGTGTGAGCGTCGCGCAACATGTAGCCACGTCGCCCACTGCTGGCAATGCCCAAGATGTATCCCGAGCTTTTTCTTTCTATCGAGAGGAAGTAATGAATGAGTGCTCGAGAACCCAGAGCTTATACGTCCCAGCTCTTCCTTATCTGGGAATTTGAAATCTCTGGTCAGCGGCCGCGTGGACCTATCGTTTTGTACCGTACATCGAAAAAACGGGCGATACAACATTCACACCTCGTGGCAGGTTCTCAAAAAGGGCCGGAAGGGAGGCAGTGTCTCGGTCGATCGGCGAGAGCACGCGGGGAGAAAGAGGAGAGAAGGGGCAGTACTTGATGCAGACATGAACTGGAGCAGAGGAGGATTTGCAATTCTAGTCCATCTAGACCCATCTGTACATTCCCGCTGTCTCAAACCATCTCATGCACATCAACGGCGCCACTTACAACAGGCTGGGCTGACTGCGACATGGCCTATGAGAGACAGTACAGCAGCAGAATATACATAGACGGAGGCGTGAGAGTGGGGGATCAGGAGGGCTCGCTCCCATCATCAGCTTACCTCTGCATCACGGTACGTACGGGCGTGCTCAGGAACAACATAAGCTTGCTTCACCTTCAGACCTACTTCTTGGCAAGACAGGACGAGGCAACCACTCAGCATACAAGGCGCAGTATATGGACCCGTAGATCATTTGCAATGAAAGGTGAAATTCCTTTTACCTCCTAAAACTCCCTTGAACCCTCAACGGGCAGGCTACGTGTCATGGTGATGCTATGGGGTGGTGTTCGAAAGGCAACATTGCCCGGAACTCTGGTACTCGAAAGATGCCCGTTCAACTCCCTTTCCTCCCTTTCCGATAATATCAGACGTAATTCCTGCCAGTTGTAAACTAAACAATATCGGAGACGCATTGCCTCCCGCTTGTAGAGAGGAAGGCGTTTCCTTGAGCCTCTTTTCCCTCCCTTCTTTGGCCCTATGCTGTGCCCATGCTGGGACTTGTTGATGTGAGACGTTTGTTGGAATCACACCCTCCTGGAAAGCCTTCCCTCTTCTCCACCCCAGCCACAGCTGGCTAAACTGGTATGTACCGAGTGTCCTTTCCAATCAAACGGCATCATCCGTCCGTCTCAACGCCCCAAGCTAGTCGTCCAGTCCCGTGGATCGAAAGGGAAGGAGGCGGCCTCCATCACCTTAGCTTGGGAAGATCTTGTCTCTGCTACTGGACCCCTGCGAACTCACACTATTGCGGTTTGTATGGTATGGTAAATTCTCCGGCTTGAGATTCTCATCCGTCGACGAGGCCGTGCCCTGACGCTGCGGCGCTTTCTTGGTTAGCACTGCCCTGGGTTTCTCGGCCGGTAGCGACTCGCTGCTGGTGCGTGTCTTGGTCAGCTTGCGAGACGCACGTTTCTGC